TCCAGATAATAAATATTAAACACCTGTTCTAGTACAGAACCTTGAGATATCCTAGTGATCACTTTCAATATTGAAAATTGACCATCTGTTCCTACTCCTGAGAATCTTTGTCACTCAGCCAAGTTCTTAAGCATGAGTAGTTGCCTCTCACCTCGTGACTATGTAATTTGCTTCTTTGTCATTTTTTTTTATATCTTGTAAACTGGTTCTTTATCCACACAACCAAAGTAAAAATAGTTCAGACACAGACTGTCATTTGCAGCTGAAGCTGTGCCATCTCTATCATGTGTTATTTATGTGATTTTATAGTTCTCTTTAAGTGTAGTTTTAACCAGTTTTCCTTGCACTGAATTAAGGCTCCCAAGCCTATAATTCATAGGATCCCCTCCAGTACTATTTTTCAAGATAGGTATAATGTTTGTTTCCCTGCAGTCTTCTGGTATAAGCTGCTCGTTTTTAGGATATTGCATATTTTTGGTAGTACCTCAGAAGCTAATTCCACTTTCCTGGATTAATACATTCTGGTCCTGGTGACTCGCTGCTCTGTAATTTTTGTTTCAGAACCTCCTCTTTTGATAACTTAATATTTATTACTTGAAAAGAATAGGTAACTCCCCAACATACAAAACTACTCAAGATAGTTAAGTCCCAGGCAGACTGCGAAGAAGTACGAAAGGATCTCTCAAAATTAGGTGACTGGGCAGATGAAATTCAGTGTTGATAAATGCAAAGTAATGCACATTGGAAAACATAATCCCAACTATACATATAAAATAATGGGGTCTGAATTAACTGTTACCACTCAAGAAAGAGGTTTTGGATTGTGGATAGTTCTCTGAAAACGTCCACTCAATGTGCAGCAGCAGTCAAAAATGCGAACAGAATGTTGGGCATCGTTAAGAAAGGGATAGATAATAAGACAGAAATTATCATATTGCCTCTATATAAATCCATGGTACGCCCACATCTTGAATACGGTGTGCAGATGTGGTTGCCCCATCTCAAAAAAGATATATTGGAATTGGAAAAGGTTCAGAAAAGGGCAACAAAAATGATGAGGGGTATAGAACCGCTTCCGTATGAGGCGAGATTAATAAGATTGGGACTTTTCAGCTTGGAAAAGAAATGACTAAGGGGGGATATGATTGAGGTCTATAAAATCGTGACTAGTGTAGAGAAAGTAAATAAGGAAGTGTTATTTACTCCTTCTCATAACACAAGAACTAGGGGTCACCAAATGAAATTAATAGCCAGCAGGTTTAAAATAAACAAAAGGAAGTATTTCTTCACACAACGCACAGTCAACCTGTGGAACTCTTTGCCAGAGGAAGTTGTGAAGGCGAAGACTATAACAGGGTTCAAAAAAGAACTAGATAAATTCATGGAGGATAGGTCCATCAATGGCTATTAGCCAGGCTGGGCAGGGATGGTGTCCCTAGCCTGTTTGCTAGAGGCTGGGAATGAGCGACAGGGAAAGGATCACTTGATGATTACCTGTTCTGTTCATTCCCTCTGGGGCACCCAGCATCGGCCACTGTCGGAAGACAGGATACTGGGCTAGATGGACCTTTGATCTGACCCAGTATTGCCGTTCTTATGTTCTTAACGTCATCTATGGTGAAGACTGATACAAAATAAATCCTTTAGCTTGTCTGCAATATTCCTAACCCCTTAATTGCTTTCTTTACCTCTGGTGGTCAACACGACTTCCTGCTTCTAATACACTTCAAGAATTTCTTGTTCTTATGTCTCTGGGTGTTTGCTCTTCAAATTCCCTATTATTCCTCTGACTTTCCATTTTAGCTGTTATAGTTTATGTTCTCTTTTTCCATTGCTTCACTTGGGCTGGATCTCCACCTTTCGAAGGTGGCCTGTTTGGCTCAGATAACCGCTCCCACCTTACCAATTAAGCATGTTGTTTATTCTTCTCTTGCCTCCTTTTCAGTGGGAGATCCACGTGCCTCTTGTGGTTGTGGTTGTAGGATTCGTTTACATGCGCAAACCGCGAATTCCTTCATTTTGGCTTAAAAAAGAACCACAGCTAGTCAATAGGGTCATACATTCCATCTTCCTAACGTTTTACGATCCCTTCCCTGAGGATGTTGATTTTACTAATAGTTAAATAATATAATTGCCACGTCAAGAAATATGCGTCCTGTGTGTTGCTTAGGCCTAATGGAAGAATAGCCTCTCCTCTTTTGGTGTAACACTAGCTGTTCCAAGAAGCAATCATTTGTAATGTTGATCAGTTGCGTCTTTAATTCTTGTTCCAGTGTGACAGATGTGACACATATGCAGAACTGAAGTCACCCGTTATTGCTGCATTGTTGGAGATGGTTGCCTCTCTGGTCTCCTACAACAGTATGCTCTCCCTTTTCCTCATCAGGAGGCCACTAGTATATGTGAATTGTTAGGACTTGGGGTTGGTAGGTCCTGTCAGTTCAAAACATTTCTTTTTCATTTCTATTAAATCTGCTAGGTGCTACTCCCCACCTCTGACCTGACCTGTCCTTCCTATATAGTTTAGGGTTCCACTGGCTGGCCTTAATCATTCTCTGCAGTTCAAACCTCTTCCGTGGAGGTTGGCAAAATATGCTGCTTACGCTTTTCAGATGAAGTAGTAACTGAGGCACAAAAAGGTTAAGACCAACACTTTCAAAAGTGGCCACTAATTGGGGGTAGGAGGTAGCCTATTTAGGTAGCCAATTGTAACAGCTTGGGCCTGATTTTTTCAGAGTTACTGAACAATCGTAGTTCTCATTGACTTCAGCTGGAGTTGTGGGTACTTGGCACTTCCAGAAATCAGGTCCCAGATAGACACCTTGGGTACATCTACACTGATATGGGCTCACAGGGCTGGTGCTACAAGGCTCTTTTAGCAGTGTAGATGTTCCCGCTTGGGCTAGAGACCAGGCTCTGAAACCCGGGAAGGGGAGAGGTTCTCAGAGCCCAGGTTCCCACTTGAGCGGGAATGAATAAACATCTATTTTTAGCCTCAGAATGTGAGCCACACAAGGCCAAGTTTGCTGCTCAGGCTCTGAGACTTGTTGCCGTGGGGTTTATTTTGCAGTGCAGACGTATCCTTGAGACCGAGTTAGACTCTGAACGTCAGCAGCCTTGTGGCCTGTGGTTTGCACAAGGTCACACAAGGTTTATGGCAGATCTGAGAACAGAACCAAGATCACTGCATTAATAGACCCATAGCTGATCCACCAGATGACATTGCTTGAGCAAAAGCACTTCACATGTGGGTGGTTGGATATGCTGTCTATAAAGTGGGGCTATTTGTGTCTGTTCGTCAACTGCTTTGAGATCTACAAGTGGGCGAGCTAAGCGTGAAGGGCATGGGGCTGATCTGTAATAACTTCTCAATACTACAAATGAGCTGAAAGAACGAGGAGTACTTGTGGCACCTTCGAGACTAACAAATTTATTTGGGCATAAGCTTTCGTGGGTAAAACCCACTTCATCAGATGCAGGGAGAATCCTAGAATATCAGGGTTGGAAGGGACCTCAGGAGGTCATCTAGTCCAAACCCCTGCTCAAAGCAGGTCTAATCCCCAGATAGATATTTTACCCCAGTTCCCTAAGTGGCCCCCTCAAGGATTGAACTCATAACCCTGGGTTTAGTAGGCCAATGCTCAAACCACTGAGCTATCTGTCCCCCCATACTCTCCTGATTGCAGTGGAGTGGAAAATACAGTAGGCAGAAATACACCTCTACCTCAATATAACGCTGTCCTCGGGAGCCAAAAAATCTTACCACATTATATTGAACTTGCTTTGATCCACCGGAGTGCGCAGCCCCGCCCCCCCGGAGCACTGCTTTACCGCGTTATATCCGAATTCGTGTTATATCGGGTGGTGTTATATTGAGGTAGCGGTGTATATACACAATACAAGAAAAGATGGGAGTTGCCTTACCAAGTGGGGGGTCAGTTCTAACACCGCTTCCACTCTGAAACCTGTCACAGATGAGCTGGTTATTGGGATAGTTACTGTAGGACTATATTGAGTGATTGGATTGTTCACTGTATGCTTGAGTGGACTTAATTTAATAGTGGAGCAGGGCAGTTAGGAAACTAGCAGGAAGGCAACCTCCTGGTAAGCATTTCCTAACTAACCTCCTGGCAAGCATTTTAAGGGAGCTAAAAAAATGATGCCTGTGCTATTAAGCTGTGAAGACGTTATTTCCAAGCACCAGTAAAGTTAAGAGTTGTTTGGCCAAGGCTCGGGACTAGCATGTCAGAAGGACACTAGTTAGTCATGCTGTAATCCAAGGGTCGGCAACCTTTCAGAAGTGGTGTGCCGAGTCTTCATTTATTCACTCTAATTTAAAGTTTTGCGTGCCAGTAATACATTTTAACATTTTTAGAAGGTCTCTTTCTATAAGTCTATAATATAGAACTAAACTATTGTTGTATGTAAAGTAAATAAGGTTTTTTAAATGTTTAGGAAGCTTCATTTAAAATTAAATTAAAATGTACGGCCCCCTAGACCGGTGGCCAGGACCCTGGCAGTGTGAGTGCCACTGAAAATCAGCTCATGTGCCGCCTTCGGCACATGTGCCATAGGTTGTCTACCCCTGCTCTAGAGTGAGGGGGACGGCAGGTACCACCCATCGTGATGATTTTTGTCTATTGGCTGCAATAAAATTCCATTTGCGATTGAATTTGTTTTCTTTCAAATGCAGGATGAACCTGAGCCATTTGGAAATTGTTCATGAAAAGATGTAGGGAGGGAGCGGGAGACCCGTTATAGTCACTAGTCCACTGGTATTAGGCACTCACCGGGGATGTGGGAGACCCAGGTTCAAGTCCCTGCTCTGAATCAGACTTGAACCTGGGTCTCCCTCGTCCCAGGTGAGTGCCCTAACCTCCGGGGACTATTGGCTATTCTAGAAGCTTGCTTTCTCTCTGGTTTTGACCAGAAATTCCATCCTGGACCTGAGAAACCTTCCAAAAGAAAGACTGACTCTCTTTTATGTGTGTGTGTGGCAGGCAACTGGGATCATTCATGCCGTCCTGGAGAAGTACGGCTCTTATGAGAGCTTTGAAGTGGCCACTGGTGGAAGATTGCTGAGCAAGTGCCAAATCTGGTCTATTCTCCGGAAGTACATGCAGAAGGAGGGCTGTGTGGGAGAGGTAATAATTGTCTTCATTTTGTTTATGAAGCACCTTCACCACAACCACTGCTAGCACAGATCAGTAGAGATAATAGAGAAAAGAAGAGTTGGACTCAAAAGTATGATGTATACTGTGATGGGCTGGATCACAGAAACCCCATTGGAAGCTGCCAACTGATGTGCCAAGACTACTTCTGCCCCTGCTTTCCCTGCCAAGCTCAGGACCCCAGCACCCTGTCTTGCTGAGCCAGACACACCCGTCTGCTCCAGCACAGACCCAGGGTCTGAATGACTTGCCCCAAAGCTGCAGACTTAACTGAAAGCAGCTTACAGAAGTGTTCTTGTCTTTAACACTCAGATGCCCAACTCCCAATGGGGTCTAAACCCAAATAAATCCATTTTGCCCTATAAAGCTTATACAGGGTAAACTCATGAATTGTTCGCCCTCTATAACATTGATAGAGAGGTATGCACAGCTGTTTGCCCCACCCCCAGGTATTAGTACATACTCTGGGTGAATTAATAAGTAAAAAGTGATTTTATTAGATACAGAAAGTAGGATTTAAGTGGTTCCAAGTAGTAACAGACAGAACAAAGTGAATTACTAAGTAAAATAAAATAAAACACGCAAATCTAAGCCTAATAATACAGTAATAAAATTGAGTACAGATAATATCTCACCCTGAAAGATGTTTTAATAAGTTTCTTTCACAGACTGGACGCCTTCCTAGTCTGGGCACAATCCTTTCCCCTGGTACAGCCCTTGTTCCAGTTCAAATGGTAGCAAGGGGATTCCTCATGATGGCTCTCCCTCTTTGTTCTGTTCCACCCCTTTATATATCTTTTGCATAAGGCGGGAATCCTTTGTCCCTCTGGGTTCCTACTCCCCCCTTCTCAATGGAAACGCACCAGGTTAAAAATGGATTTCAGTTCAGGTGACATGATCACATGTCACTGTAAGACTTCATTGCCCACTTGCCAGCACACAGGTATACAGGAAGACTTACAGGTAAAACACAGCCATCTGCAGTCAATTGTCCTGGTTAATGGGAGTCATCAAGATTCCAAACCACCATTAATGGCCCACACTTTGCATAATTACAATAGACCCTCAGAGTTCTATTTCATATTTCTAGTTTCAGGTACAAGAGTGGTACATTTATACAAATAGGATGATCACACTCAGTAGATTATAAGCTTTGTAATGATACCTTACAAGAGACCTTTTGCCTGAAGCATATTCCAGTTACATTAGCATATTTTCATAAAATCATATAGAGTGCAATGTCACATATACCGACAAAGCCAAAATTAAACATAGCTATTGATTGAGAGGAAGCAATTTGGGAACCCATGATTCTTAGAACCCAGCAGTGAGAGTGGGTAAGTAAGTCTGAGCTTGCAACACGAAGTTGCTGCAAACAAATCCGATGTAATTTTGTGCTGCAGGAGCGTCACCTAGAGTAGCAGGGTTTTAATAGCACTTCTCTATATGGCTCTGGTGTCTGCAGCTGGAAATATTGTTTTCACTTCTGAGCACTTCAGAACCAGGAAGATGTTAACAAACTGTAGCACAAACAGTTCTAGGAATGTGGCACAGGAAAGACTCAAGGCATTTTGGCGTAAAAGTGATATCCAGAGTGACAACATAAATCAGACATGTTGATTCCAAAACACAATGTTACCAAGCTGAGTTTTCACCCTTTGTGGACTAAATCCAGTTCTCGTGGAAACAAGCACTCTTGTCTTGACTACAGTGGAGTTATTCCAGAGCGCCACTGAGCCCAGTGGCAGCTGTAAAACATGTGCAAAAAAAATACATATTTATCTTAGTTTATACAGCTGCTCCTCTTATTAAATATGGGAGCCAAAGATCTAACCAAGTGTAGCCAATACAGGCCCGTCTTGAGTGCTATTCATGGCTCACAGGGTGCAGAAAGCTGCCCTAAAAGGACGGCTGAGGATTCAGCTAGCTCAGCTCTGCGCCACTCCCTCCTGGCCCCATACCGTAGGGGGCACAGATTCACAGATTTTTAAGGACAGAAAGGACCACTGTGGTCATCTCGTCTGGTCTGTATAACACAGGCCAGAGAAGTTCCCTGAATTAATTCCTGTTTGATTCCAGGAATTTAGATTTTCTAAAATTAATTCCTGGAATCAAACATCCAATATTAATTTAAACATTTCTAGTGACAGAGAATCCACCACAGCCCATAGTAAGTTGTTCCAATGCTTAATTACTCTCGCTGTTAAACATTTGAGCCTTGATTTCTAGTGTGGGTTTGTCTGGCTTCAGCTTCCAGCCACTGTTATAACTTTATCTGCTAGATTGAAGAGCCTTCTATCAAATTTCAGTTCCCTACGTAGGCACTTAGACTGTAATCAAGTCACCCCTGGACCTCTGTTTGGAAGCTAAATAGACTGAGCTCCTTGCCTATTGCTGTGAGGCATGGTTTCCAATCCTTTAATCATTCTTGTGGGTCTTCTATGAACCCTCTCTAGTTTTTCAACATTCTTCTTGAATTAGGGACACCAGAACTGAACACAGTATTCCAGCAGCAGTCGCTCCAGTGCTAAATACAAAGGTAAAATAATCTCCTTTTTCCTTCTTGAGAGTCCCGTTTACACATCCACGGTTCACATTAGCCCTTTCGGCCACAGTGTCACACTGGGAACTCACGAGCAGGCATGCACCAGCAATCAGGGTAAGAGCCCCTTTGGGGCCATTACAGAGCAGGACATATATATGAGCAGCCTTTACTGCCATAATTTGTGCCAGGGGTCAGAATCTGCCCTCTGGAAGCCCTGGAATTGGTCATGTACCAAGACGGCATAAAGCTGCTTTTGTCTTTACCCCACTCCGAGTCCTGCACTGAGCACAGCTTGACTGGCCCATTATAGCTGAGCGTGTATATATCCCTGGGGGGAGGGATAGCTCAGTGGTTTGAGCATTGGCCTGCTAAACCCAGGGTTGTGAGTTCAATCCTTGAGGGGGCCACTTTGGGAACAGGGGTAAAAATCTGTCTGGGGATTGGTCCTGCTTTGAGCAGGGGGTTGGACTAGATGACCTCCTGAGGTCCCTTCCAACCCTGATATTCTATGATTCTATATTGTATCAGACATGCCATATACAAAACCTATGAGGAGCTGCTATCTTTAGGCACCAGGGCCCACTCAGTGTGATATCTTATGGTCATGTGTTTCATCTGTGATGCTGTAATTAACATCAGTTAGCAGTGGTCAGGCTAGCTAGGGCCTGAGGTCAGTGAGTCACTGTGCTGGAAGCTGGAGAAATGTCGGAGTGTGACAGCTGCAGCGCTGCAGGAGGCGGGGGGGGGGGGGGGGGGCAGTGAGCTGCAGCTCATCGTGAATGGATTGGAAATTAGAGAGAAAAGCAACTTCAGCATCAAGGGGCAGGGGCCTGAAAGCACTGCGGGAGGAAACTCATTTCAATAAATACAAGTCTCAGCTGGGGTTTGTTCAGTGGGCTGATTGTTAACTTTAAGATGTGACGTTATGAATGTAATTCATGTTCCAATACGCAGAAGTGACACAACTCACCTAAAAATATTTTACAGAGCTCTAAATGAAGTAACACCGCTGCATGTGCCCCCAGAGATAACATTGGTGAAGCTTTATCTCCCTTCTGTGGGGGAATTCAAACAATTTGTAATATTTTATAAAGAATTTGCAGACCAACAGCAGCGTTTGATTGTGCGGACATCGGCATAGGCTGATTGAAGGGTGTAGCCAGCTGACAGGGTCTGGAAGTGCTAGAATTCCTCCTGGTCTGACAAGAGTGTTTGCTTCGTAGTTGATCAGGCCGTATGTAGCTTGGTGTTGAAGATTTGGGTGTAAGAGGATTTTGGATTAGACATGACTCCCATTCCTCTGTTTGGCACTGGCCAACCATCAAGAATGTGATTGGGCAAGATAAGATTTACTCTCACTCCTTAAAAAGCAACAGAGAGTCCTGTGGCACCTTTAAGACTAACAGATGTCAAAACATCTGTTAGTCTTAAAGGTGCCACAGGAGACTCTGTTGCTTTTTACAGATCCAGACTAACATGGCTACCCCTCTGATACCTCTCACTCCTTAGTGAATGCTGTACTTACCAGTAGCGTAACAGAGTAAGCCCTGGATTGCCTTGCCATGCTTTTGACCACAGGCCCTGGAACAAGCCCAATGAGTGTGACATTTACACACACCCAAGGCTAGCAGGTCTAAAAGATGAACTGTCCTGCAGATTAATCTGTCCAATGTCTCTGTCACTGCAGTGACCGAGTTTTTCAGACATATAAGCACATCACAAACCAACTAGCTAATGCTGTCAGTGGTTTTAGGAGTTAAATTCCTGAAGGTAATGTATCATGTGTCTTTTGGATCCAATCCTTTCTCTTACTACTTCTCAAGACAATATACTCCAAGCATAGGTGCCGACTCCGTGGGTACTCCAGGGCTGGAGCACCCACGGGGAAAAATTGATGGGTGCTGAGCACCCACAGGCAGCTCCCCGCCCCCCCCCCCCGCCTCTACTCACCTCCGCCTCTGCCTCCTCCCCTGAGCATGCCGCCGGGACCTGCTTCTCCCCCCTCCCTCCCAGTGCTTGTGCCGCGAAACAGCTGTTTCGCGCGGCAAGCCTGGGAGGGAGGGGGGAGGAGGAGGAACGCGGCGCGCTTGGGGGAGGAGATGGGGCCGGGGCGGGGATTTGGGGAGGGGTCCAATAGGGGCAGGAAGGGGCGGACTTTGGGGCTGGGGTGGAGTTGGGGTGGGGCCGGGGGGGGGCACAAGCATCCACCGGCGCCAAAAAAAGTTGGTGCTTGTGACTCCAAGCTCATTTCTCTGTCCTTGTTCGTCAGAGCAGTGTGTAAAGCCAGGACTCCTAGCACCACTGCATAGACTTCTGCTGTTTGATCCAAAGAGGTAACGCTTTTACCTAGACGGTTCCTATCGACTCAACGTGAACATCCAACACAAATTGAATCATTGGTTCACTAATCACCCGCACCCCGCAAAAA